ACAGTTATTTATGGCTGTGAACGAGCAACCCAGACTTAAAGTGGACTAATATTGATCCACGTCTTTCGGACATTCCATGAAGTGGTTGCTTCTAATTAAACATAATTGAAATCCCTTACAAAAGCAAATTTGATCCTCCCACTCGAAGAAAAGAAAACAAAATACATGAAATGTACCCTTTTATGGTTTGCATCCCTTGGCAAACACACGCCTTGTGCCTTAGTCGCCTTCAAATATTTTTTTCTTAAATCCCCGAATAAACACGCCCTTGTCTTACACGGCTTTTAATCATCACTTGCAAGGCCATGTGGGTGAAATTTAAAACCTTAGAGTGATCCATGGCTTAAAATTAATAAATAAACATAACCTGAAAATGGAAGTTAAAAATATAAAAAGTTGAATAGTGATATTAAAAAAATTAAAAAAAAATGGTCAAACATTTTTATTCAATTTAAAATAAAGAAATACAAATGTAAAAAAAATATATATTTCGATTTTTATGGCCTGTCAATAGAAATGGCTCTTAGACTTTCAGCTCAATAGAAATCAAGTACATATTATTTTTTTTTTTTTAATTCGCCTACTCGAATACGGAAAACGCTAGCATTTTTTTCCATACAAGGTGAAATTCTTTAAAAAGTTCGACTGAAGAAAAAGTCAAATAATTGAAGTAAAAGACGGCTGAATTTATATTTAGAGAGTCAGATGAAAAAACTGCAACCAACTTCAGACTGCTGTCATTTCTAAGCCACTCGCCCGACAGCTTTCAACATTTTACCAGTGACAGCTCATTATATTGTTTACAAGCATACAAAAGCATGTTGGTGAGAATTTTCCAGAAAAAAAATTATTCGTGATAGAATTCAAGCGTGATAGTGAGATTTCTTTATATTTGGCTGGAAAACCACAAGTGGCTATCGTTAGAGCACTCAAGTATTTAAATGTGAAAAAATCTTTTGTACCATCGCTCGTTGCCGTGATACTGGTAGCGTAGCCCGACGTCAAGGAAGTGGACGGAAGAAAACAGCAACATCAGCAGAAATGGTTGGAAAAGTAAAGAAGCGACTTGAAAGAAACTCGCGTCGCAGTGGCCGAAAAATGGCTCGTGAGCTGAACATATCGCAATATTCCATTTGGCAAACATTGAAAAATGAGCTCGGGGTAGTCATTGAAATTCCTAAAAGTGCAAGAACTTACACCGCAACAGAAAGAAAATAGACTCAAAAGAGCTAAAGAGTAGCTTCGCTTGGCCGAAAGTGGTGAACTGCCGAATTGTGATTTTCTCCGATGAGAAAACATTCCTTGTCCAGCAGCTTGTAAACAAGGCCAAAGAGTGTTCAGAGTGTTCGTGTTCACTTGCCAAAGAGGTCAGCTGAAAATGTGCACCTTCGGTTGGACACCAGAACTCAAGCGCCGGCCATGGTGATGGTGTGGGCCGCCATAACAGCCGATGGTCGCACTCCGCTCGCATTAATCGACCGTTTCATCAAAAAAAAATGCCGAATATTATATATATCGCGAACATATTCTGGAGGGTGTATTAAAGCCTTGGGCACGCAAACATTTTGGCCGCAGACCTTGGACATTCAGCACCATCGCACTCAACACGCGGCATAGAATGGTTACAAAATTAGATTCCTCGCTTCATGTCCAGCGCACAATAGACAATAGATTCAAAAGAGCTAAAGAGTTGCTTCGCTTGGCCGAAAATGGTGAACTGCCGAATTTGGTTTTCTCCGAAGAGAAAACATTCGTGTCCAGCAGTTTGTAAACAAACGAAATTATCGTTTTTACTTGCCAAAGAGGTCAGCTGAAATGTGCACCTTTGGTTGGCCACCAGAACTCAAGCGCGGGCCATGGTAATGGTGTGGGCCGTCATAACAGCTCGTATTAATCGACCGTCGCGTCAGAATAAATGCCGAAAATATTCTGAAGGGTGTATTAAAGCCTTGTGCACGCAAATATTTTGGCCGCAGACCTTGGACATTCCAAAAGGACACAGCAGCACGCGCCACAAAAGAATGGTTACAAAATGAGGTTCCTCGCTTCATTTCCAGCGCACAATGGCCCCCAAAATCTCCGGATACCAATCCGTAGGACTATTGTGTCTGGAGTATTTTGGAAAGCAAGGTTGGCACTAAAGAATACCAAAGTTTCGATCACCTCAAGCAAGCGCTTCGCCGGGAATGGGCCAAAATACCGCAGAGTAACATTCGGATAGCGTGTGAAGGTTTCATTGGCCTTTGAAGGCCATAATTCATGTCAAAGGTGACCAATTCGAACTAATCTAAACTTATTCTAAAATTTGATGCTATTTCCGACATTTTTTGCCTTCAATCAATAAAAATTAAAAAAAAAATAGAAATTATGGCATTTGATTTTGCTGCAGTTTTTTTAATCTCACCCTGTTCAGTGATATATTAAAGATAATAATCCTAGGGTAAGTGTACCAGTAGTCAGAACTTTAAATATGTTCGCTTCTTCAACATTTACCATTATGAAGGAATTTTTCAATTACAAGTTAGTTCATTCGGATTCCAAATTTTTTTCAGTTTTCGATCGAATTGCATACAGAAATTAGAAATCGGTGACAAAAAAAAAAAAGATTAGAGTTTGGACATGAAATCGCCCCGCACGTAGTTATAGATCCAATATACCTTAAATATTACGGGTAAGATTGTTTTTATTTAAATATTTATTTACTTTATTTATTCATTTATTTATTTATTTTATTTCATTTTATTTTTTTTTTTTCTTTATTTATTTATTTTTATTATTATTATTATTTTTTTTTTTTTTTGTGGAAAATCTGTTCTGCGAATTCCACAATTTACGAAATTGATTACATGAATTAGGAAAATAAATATTAAAAGATTTTATATGGTTTCCAAAAAATACATATTTTGTACAAAATATCATAAAACATTCCCCCAAACCTCTTTCGATTCCAAGAAGCATAATTTATATTATTCTTATAATACTGCAAAGAAAAAATAATAATTCTTATTTTATGCATTCAAAAATTATGTTTAAATAAAAATAGCATATGAGCCGAGGAAGGAAGCAGAAACCAAGCAGACAAGAAGTTAACGTTCAAGTCAAAATATAAAAGCATTAATTTAGTCATTATCTGCTTAAAGATAAAAATGATTTACCTACTTGCATCAGGAAAAAAAAAAGAAAAATTATTCTACACACACATACATACAATTATTAATACATTTGCATGTATATAAAAGAGCAACCACACGCACACATCTACACTGCAGATGGGTATTATGTTAATGATTTTAAGCCATCTTGAATTTGTGGGCGCACAAAACTCCCTGCCCCGCATTAATAACTTATTTAATATCTCTTTTTGAGGGCCATCAAAGTGGGTATGTGTGCATGAGGGGTGGTAGGAGGATTGGGTGCTCTTTCCACATAGTCACTTCCAAAGAAGTCTGACAGAGATACAAAATAATAACGTTGACTTTGTCTAAATAAGATAATCGCCGTTGCTGATGGATGCTGCCGCCTCTGCCGTAGCTTGGATGCTAACAAAGAAGAAGGAAAAAAAATAAAATAAAGCCTCTGTGAAGTGTGAAAAATATAGCAAGCAGCAGCCAAGCTTACTCTCTTAAAAGCAACAACTATTGTGGATACCATGATGGGCTGCATAGCTTTACATGGCAGAGATAATGAGAATGGCCAGAGTACTTTTGATGTTTTTTTTTTGCTTGCCACTCAAGGGCAAGACAACAAATTGTGGGACTGGGTTGGGTGGATATTTGCAGAGAGAGCAGGCGTCCAGCTTAAGCCGAAAAACTATTAAAATATAACGCCTACCCATTCGAAATCTAGTAATTTAACAATGAAAATCCTTTCACATAAAAGCACACAAATTCACACACACCCTTGCACAGAGAGATGAGAAGAGACTAGTAACAACAACAGCAAAACAGATATAGACAGTAAGCATGAATGGCGTTTGTTTTATGCGGAGAGGCCATCCACTACTTACTCTGGGATGCGCAATTATTGTGAGAAGAACAGCAAGACAAATTATGCATTGCCTTAATGAGCACATCATACCACCTCCCATCTCTGATTTTGTGACATTTTTTTTTTTTGGTCCCTCAACAAAATTATCAATGGCAAGATAACAACAAAACAAACAGGCAGACCACCCCAGCCATTAACCAATCACAAAACACCCCACACACAAAGGCCAGGCAAACAATACAACAACAGTACCAACAACTCTGTGCTCAGTTTACTTGTGTGCTCATTGAACTCACACACAAAGGCCAGCCAAACACCCCACACACAGAGCCCAGCCAAATACAACAACAGCACAACACAGCATACCAACACTACTCTGCTCTATTTACTTGGGTTACTCACTGAGTACCATGATAATAACAATACGCTCTCTGCTCAATGTAACTGAGCAATGAATAACCAAATGAGGGAGAGAGAACTCAACAACTCCGTTAACTGCAATGGAATGGTGTGTGAGCGAAGGAGAAACAACGAATCAATTAAACGTCTAAGGGAATTTCAATATGGCAAAACAAAAACAACAATGCATGGAGAAGGCGTGGCCAACGGAGAGCAATGAGGATTAAGCCATGAATGTTTGTTTCCATTCACAACGGTTTTGTTGGGCATTTTCGATGAGGGTAAGTTGGAAAATCGGGTTTGGCAAGTTGTTAAGTTGTTTATTAGCGTGTCAACTGTCCGTACAGCATATCATTTTCGGATTTCTGACAAGCAACAAGAGACCAACGAAGCGAAGAACAGATTTCTATCTCTCATAGTGGCAAATTGAAATTTTAATAACTTAATAATAAAGTGTGAAATATAATTTAAAGAGAGAGCAGAAAAGAAAATAATTACAGCATTAAAGAGGATTAAATAATTAAACATAAAAACAACAAAAAGTGCTACAATTTCCAAAAAATAAATAAATAAAAAAATATAAAAAACGTTATTAACAAAATTTAAATAAAAAATATAAAAAAAAATTAAAACTCCAACACTCTTTGAGAAAAAATCACATAAATTTAAATTCCAAAAGTAACGTGAAAAAATTTCAAAATTCTGTCCTCATTGTGGCCAGCTCCAGACCAACTTGTTGGTAAACTGGAGCCCAAACTGAACAACTCCAACCCCAGTGCTTCTGCCAAGTTTAAAATAACATTGGTGCGAAACGGTGTTGGTGAGACGAACGAACGTTCCACACCCTCCACAACACCGCCGCTTTCACCGCAGGCCTCAATCGGCAATAATCTCTACAATATGGTTGAGACCAACTCACCGCCCTCTGGATTAACAATTAAACGCTGTCCCTCCTCTAGTCCGCTGCATGAAACCCAGCAGCAGCAACAACAACAAATGGCGCCCCATATCATACAACACCAACATCAGCAGGTGCAATTGCATTTGCAACAGCAACAACTTCAATTGGCCCAACTGCAACAGCAACAACAAAATACAAATCGCACAAGATCACCCAGCGATACTGCGGTCGGTTCCGTCGGGACCATTAACACCTCCTCCGCCGCCTCAAATACCACACCCAATGCTGCCTATCTAACCACTGCCATGCTTTTAAATTCTCAGCAATGTGGCTATTTGGGGCAAAGGCTGCAATCGGTCTTCCAACAGCAACAACAACATCACATTACCCAATCTCAAACGCCCTCCTCGGACGATGGATCCCAGTCGGGTAACACCGTCATCTTGGATGATGATCATTCCCCTCATCATCACCACCCTTCTCAGCGGCTAACACGTGATACTAACTCCGCCGCCGCCTCAGCGGTACAAACGGCTGCCGCTGCCTCCATTTTTAGTATTGACAGTATTTTGGGTTCAAGATCCATGCAAAATTCAAGCAACAATACCAATAATAATAACAACAATAACAATACCAGTCTCAACAACAACAATCATATCATTAAACGTAACACCGAATCACCCACCTCACCCAGTTCAAATTCCAGCTCGGCCGCCTCAAGCCCCCTGAGGCCACAACGTGTACCCGCCATGCTGCAACATCCCGGCCTACATTTGGGCCATTTGGCAGCAGCAGCGGCAACGGGTTTTGCCGCAGCCTCACCTTCGGATTTTTTGGGTAAGTTGTGTAGAAATTTGATACTTTTTTCGGGGACCTTTCGAAGAAGAAAAAGTTTTCGGTTAAGAAGATTAAACAATTAAATGGGAAAAATAAGGAAACTTGGGGGTCTTGACAATTGGAGTTTAGGAAAGGGTCACAACAATTGATAAGGTCATCTGTCAATCAATAATGGAAAAATAAATTAAAAAAATTGGAAATTAATTATCAATTAAAGGTGACAAGGGCGAACATCTGCGTTTGTCTTCATGTCAAATTTAGGTGAAAGGTGGAAGGCAAATTTGGCCTTTAGCAGTAACTTTTCAACTGGACAGGAGAAATATTTTTATTAAATTACGAAAAAGGAGTAGCTGCAGAATAAACATAATGGGAGTTGAGGGTATCGGTGCCGTCAGGAGAGACCGAAATGTCCAGACAGCTACGAAATGAAAAAAATCTTTGTTGAAAGTGTCGCTGATGTCACAGGTTTAGACTCCTTTAACTCAAAAAAGAATTTCTTTTTTCTACCACCAAGACCATGTATTTTAAATTCGCCACCTATAAATCTCGGTTTTATCAAACCAAATTCAAAATCTTTAATTTTTAATAACTTAAAAAGTATAACGATTTCGAAATTCGGGACCTTCATAAAAAAATCCTCATTTTTTCCTTTTTTTTGCACCGCAGAGGCCAAAAAAGGATTTTTTATAAAATAATATAGACCAGAGAAGTATTTGTTGATAAAGAATTATAGGCCTCAGAAGCCAGTGAAAATTTCTCCATAAAAATGTATAGTCCATGGAAAATCTATACAAATTTTTCCTCACAATTTTATGTGCCTCGGAAGCCCATGAACAATTTAAAAAAAAATATTTATGGGCCGCGGAGGCCGTTGGGATTTTTTCTGTAACATTTTGTAGAGGTCCACAAAGTTCTACTAAAATTTTCTAATTTTGTTTTTAGCTGCAGAGACCTAATCTAATTTTTAATTAACTTTTATGAGCGCCGGAATTCTATGGACATTTCTCGTAAAAATTTTAATGGTCTCCAAGTCGTATACAAAAATTTTCTAAAACATATTGAAGACCTCGCAGACCTATGGCAAATTTTTTTCAGGTCTATAAAAATCAAAAGAATTGTCTTAAAAATTGAAACCTTTAAATATTTCTCGTTTTCTAATTCCGAGCAACATTTCTCTCTGGTACGTATACCCTTTCATCTAACCACCCTCCCTTCTCCCAGACAAATTTGTTGTACTTAACCTCCCGCTATTTTCCGGAATACCATAAATACTTGGGAAGATTAAAATACAGAAAAGAAAAACACGACAAATGCAAGCCTGTGGCGAGCGAACGCTTGTCTGATTTGATTCCACAACAATATTTCCATTTTTCATGGGTGAATTAATCTGCATTATGCTTAAAACCGAAGCTTTTTATGTTATTTAATCAGCCGACCCCCGAACGTAGCCCTCTAAGCAAAATAGAAATGTGTGGCCCACACATCAATCACCCCCTCATCGGTGAGAGGCAGCAGTGAGAAAATCTTAGAAAAAAATGAAAATCTAACCCAACTCACCTTTCACCTGAGTGCACACACTCATACCCATTATGGTTTAAAATTACCCAGCACTCAGCCAGCCAGCCATTCTGCCAGGGATTTGAGGGCAAGTAACATTTGTAGAAAAAAAACGACTTGGAGGTCTATTGAGAAAATATGGAAAATATTTCTAAAACATTTAAATATGCTTAAACCGTGTGACGAAGACAAAGAAGCTGCTTTCAAGTTGGAGATTTATTTTTTTATTTTTGTATTCTTGTTCTTTGTTGCGTTAAAAGTTCCAGTAGCCAGGGCATAGAAGAAAAAATCAGTCACCGTTGTTGCATTAGGGCCACGATTTAATGCCCGAGGTGACAAGCTGAGGAGGTAAAGTGGTTTTCACTCTGTGGGTGTGTGTGGGTGCAAGGGAGGGCGATGTGGGTAACAAATCAAAATCATCTTTTCCGCTTTATTGCTTTTGCCGATGTCTTGTAAAAATTTGCCACTAATCGCTTCAGCATTGAATTACTCCAAGTTATGCCATAAAATAATATAAGCCGTTTTCGTTTTAATTTTTTTTCTCTTCATTCAATATTTAAATGAAAGAATAACTGATGCTAAGGTATTTTACTTTTGAAGGGGGAAGGGAAGGAATATTGTTAAAAAATATACAAAATAATAGAAATATTGCAGGCCGATGAAGAAAATCCTCTTTAAGACCTCCGTGGCCAACAAAAAATTTGCATGGATTCCAGTGGCGTCTTCAATGAAATTTTCCAAAGGCCTCTAAAGCCTTTAAACATTTTCAAAGGTTCACAACATTTTACAGAAATATTTATAAGGTCCCGAATAAAGAATTATTGAAGTAATTTTTAAAGGACTGCGTTAACCTAAAAGTTTAAAGGATAACATTTTAACGGCCTCACAGAACCAAAAAAAATAAATAAATAAAATAAAAATGTTAATAGTACCTTCATATGACGTATATAATTTTAAAGAGATTTTTTTCACAGACCTATTCATTTTCATTCGATTTTCAAAAAAAAAAAACTTCATAGGCTTAACTCCGTAATTATATGTTTGGGAATTTTTTCATGGGCCTCTAAAAACTTATTTTTTTTTTTTTGAAAATTGTCATTGTTTTCGTAAGATTTCAGAAAAATTTTTTTTTCGCCATCAGTCAAATGGCTACTGGGAGTATAAATCATTTGATAGGGCCAAAAACGCTATCTATCCAATCCAAAACCGTTTCAGGAAATTTGAAGACGTTCTAGGGGTGTCCGTTTGTCTATCTGTCCGACTGGTACGCACAATAACTGTCCAAGGGAGTGTCCGATTTGGTCCAAATTTGGTGCATCGTAATTTTATTCTCAAACAGAGATAAGGTTCGGAGATGGGCAATATAGGTCCACTTCTTCTGGCACCTCCCCCACAAAAGCTCAAAATTTTCACAGAAAATAATTTAACTTATAGAGCAAGATGGGATCATCCAAGTGTGTGCAAACTTTGCAAAACCCAATATTTGCATCAGTGTTAAGTCAAGTCCAAAAATAGGCAATATTGGACCACCCCCTCTGGTACCTCCCAAACAACGGGTCAAAATTTTGAATAAGTAAAACAGTTTTAAAAAATGTGAAATAAGAGGCTGATTGTCTTCAAACTTTACATATTTTAAAATTTCTACTAACAGAAGATCTGGTGTGAGGATGGAATATATCGGCCCACTCCTTCTTGTAACTCCCCCACAAAGGGGTCAAAATTTTGAATAATCAAAACGCTCATAAAATGCGAAATATGCGTCCGTTTCTCTTTAAATTTTAGACATCTCAATATTTTTTCCAACGCAATATCTGCTGTAAAGATGGTGTATATTGGTTCACTCCTTCTGGTACCTCCCCCACAACCGGTCAACATTTTTTAGTATTTAAAACTCTCATAAAATTCGAGATAAGCATCAGTTTGTTTCTAAATTTCACACATCCCAATTATTATTCCAAAACAAGGTCAGGAATGAAGATGAAATATATTGGTCCACTCCTTCTGGTACCTCCCCCACGAAGGGGTCAAAATTTGGAATATCCAAAATGCTTATAAAATGCGAAATAAGCATGCGATTCTTTCTAAATTTCACACATCTCAATATTTCTACTAGCACAAGGTCTGATGTGAAGATGGGATATATCGGCCCACATCTTCTGGTACCTCCCCCACAAAGGGGTCAAAATTTTTGAATAATTAAAACTCTCATAAAATTCGAAATAAGCATCCGTTTGTTTCTTAATTTCCCACATCCCAATATTTCTTCCAACGCAAGGTCTGGAGTGAAAATGAAATATATTGGCCCACACCTTCTGGTACCTCCCCCACAAATGGGTCAAAATTTGGAATACCCAAAATGCTTATAAAATGCGAAATAAGCATTCGATTCTTTCTAAACTTCACCCATTCTAATATTTCTTTAGAGACATGATCTGGTGTGAAGATGGTCGATATCGGCCCACCTCTTTTGGTACCTCCCCCACAAAGGGGTCAAAATTTTGAATAACCAAATTGCTCATAGAGTGCGAAATAAGCATCCGATTCCTTTCAAACTCAGTACGTCCCAATACTTCTATCAACACAAGCTGTGTTGTGAAAATGGTAGATATCAGCCCACTTCTTCTGGTACCTACCCCACAAAAGGGTCAAAATTTAGAATATCCAAAATGCTCATAAAATGCGAAATAAGTATTCGATTCTTTCTAAACTTCACACATTCTAATATTTCAATAAAGGCATGATCTGGTATGAAGATGGTAGACATCGGCCCACTTCTTCGGGTACCTCCCCAACAACGGGTCAAAAATTTGGAATAATTATAACTCTCATAAGATGCGAAATAAGCATCTGATTATTCCCAAACTTCACTCGTCTTAATATTTCTTCCAACACAAGGTCTGATGTGACGATGGGATATATCGGTCCACACCTTCTGGTACCTCCCCCACGAAGGAGTCAAAATTTTGAATATCCAAAATGTTAATAAAATGCGAAATAAGTATTCGATTCTTTCTAAACTTCACCCATTCTAATATTTCTTTAAAGACATGATCTGGTGTGAAGATGGTAGATATCGGCCCAACTCTTCTGGTACCTCCCCCACAACGGGTCAAAATTTTTGAATAATTAAAACTCTCATAAAATTCGAAATAAACATCCGTTGGTTTCTAAATTTCACACATCCAAATATTTTTTCCAACACAAGGTCTGGAGTGAAGATGAAATATGTTGGCCGACTCCTTCTGGTACCTCCCCCACAAGGGGGTTACAATTTTGAATAACAAAATTGTTCATAGAATGCGAAATAAGTATCCAATTCTTTCTAAACTTCATACATCGCAACATTTAAATTGGCACAAGCTCTGTTGTGAAAATGATATATATAGGCCCACCCCTTCTGGTACCTCCCTCACAAAAGGGTCAAAATTTTGAATAACCCAAATGCTCATAAAATGCGAAATAAGCATTCGATTCTTTCTAAACTTCACACATTCTAATATTTTCATAAAGACATGATCTGGTGTGAAGATGGTAGATATCGGTCCACCTCTTCTGGTAACTCTCCCACAAAGGGGTCAAAATTTTTGAATAATTATATCTTTTATAAAATGGGAATTAAGTATCCGATTCTTCCCAAACTTCACACGTCTTAATATTTCATCCAACATAAGATCTGCTGTGAAGATGGTAGATATCGGCCCACTCCTTCTGGTACCTCCTCCACAAAAGGGTCAAATTTTTGAATATCCAAAATGCTCATGGAATGCGAAATCTGTGCTCGATTCATTTCAAACTCGCCACGTCCCAATATTTCTATCAACACAAGCTCTGTTGTAAAGACGATAGATATTGGCCCACTCCTTCTGGTACCTTTCCCACAAAGGGGTCAAAATTTTGAATAACCAAAATGCTCACAAAATACGAAATAAGCATATAATTCTTTCTAAACTTCACAAATCGCAATAATTCAACTGACACAAGATCTGTTGTGGAGATGGTAGATATCTGTCCACTCCTTCGGGTACCTCACCCGCAACGGGTCAAAATTTTTGAATAATCATAACTCTTATAAAATGCGGTCAGATGCTTATGATTCTTTCTAAACTTCACGTATTCCAATATTTCTGCTAAAACGTGATCTGCTGTGAAGATGGAAAACATCGGCCCACTCCTCCTAATACCTTCCCCACAAAAATTGAAAATTATGATTTGTTTATTTTTTTAATAAATATTTTCTCTGTTCTTTTCAGTTGCCTATCCCAACTTCTATCCCAATTATATGCATGCCGCCGCCGTGGCTCATGTTGCGGCCGCCCAAATGCAGGCTCATGTCACGGGTCATGGCGGGGCAGCAGGATTGACGGGCCACCAACATCATGCTGGTGCCCATCATCATCTACATCATGCTGGACATCATCATGCCGGCCATCATCATCACCACCACATGGCTGCCCATTTGGGCCATGGACCACCACCGAAACGAAAGCGCCGTCATCGTACAATTTTCACCGAAGAACAATTGGAACAATTGGAGGCGACTTTTGAAAAGACCCACTATCCGGATGTGGTGCTGCGTGAGCAGTTGGCACTAAAGGTGGATCTCAAGGAGGAAAGAGTTGAGGTAAGTTGGGGAGAGGGAAAATTTTTGTAATTATTAAAATAATTTGGAGAAAATTTCACGGGTGAAACCTTTGGAGTGCTTCCACGGAGTTATGTGGGAAATAAAATAAAAATCGTTATTTGTTTAGTTGAAGTTTTAAGGTTTCCCATCAAAAAAAAAAAAAAAAAAAAAAAAACTGAAGCTGTTGCAAACTACCAAAAACTGAGAGATAAGCATGTTGTGAATGTTAATTTGTTATATTTAAGGATATGCGGCAGCCACCAAAAACAAATACCATGGGCGAGATAATGTTTTGGTCAGATCTTTCTGGGGCTTCTTCCATGGCAGATATCATTTGAATTGTTTTGTTTTATTGGCAATGTAAACAAATGACGACGTTCAGTGGTTTCCTTGTTGGTTTTTTTTTTGGAATATAATACCTTATGCCCTTAGTTGCCTGGGAATCAAATGCCCTCCAGCTTTTGCCACCCCTAAAACCGCTGATGGATGATACGGCTGCTGATAAAAGACCAGGAAAAAAGCGTTACCCAAAAGTATTTAAATACACTTAGGACTCATTGAGTTTAGGCAAAAAATACTCACACACACAGACACACCAAATCCCTTAAAAGCCTCTGACATTTTTATGAGGGGAGAGGGGAGAACTGGGAGGGGGGAAGTGAATCCATTACATTCAATTCGTTTATTGTCAACACAAACAAACAGAACACAAGTTTATTTTCTCATTTCGGATTGACAAATCAATTTGTTAACATTTATTGGTAATTAAATACCCACCAACCCCCTCCTCCCGGACCCAGGAACTGGCATCCCTGCCAACATTCTCTGTGAATTAAGTGTTGAATTTGTAAGGATTTATTGTCAAACAGATGGTTGGTGTGTTGATAACCAAATTTCAAATTAATTGTCCTTTGGCATATGTTTGGACTAAAGGACACTTTTCAGGAAAGGGGAAGGCTTGCTTGATGCACTTCTAGGCTTTGACAAACACACATTTAAATGTCAAATGTCACATTTGTATTTAACTCCTTCCCGCCACCTTTTACACATTTCGAGATATTGTGCCCTTGGGCCAAAATTAAAGAGAGTCTAAATTCCAGAGAGAGAGAGGGAGGGAGAGCGGGTGTTGATTATTATTATTACACGTTAGGTGGTAGCTACTTAAGAACTACCTTTGTTTTGAGGCTTAAAGCTAAATACATTTACCTTGTTTTCCCATTGACAATTTTATGTCATCTGAAGGTAAAGTAATTAAAGGCTGTTTTGGGGAGGAGGGTACTTCTGGACAAAGAGTGTGATTTAGTGGAAATGTGATGGCACACATCTAAATTAGTTTGGTTTGCTAATGTTGTGGGACGAATAGAAAGGTGTTTAATTGTGTTCCTAATCGTGGCCAGAGGCTAATGATTTGGGTATGTGGGTGAGGACCAAGCCGAGGGTTTTACTGAGAAGATTTTCTTTTGATGTGTGTACTTGTGACACCGGGTAAGGTGTTAAGGTGATGGAAAGTTACTCGTTAACCAAAGCCTAAGGGGTATTTTTTTATAAAATAGATTATTCCAAGTTTGTCTGGCCCAAACTTCTGACACAATTTTCAAAAAAAAAAGACACTCTGGCCCAAGAAAAAAATGGCAAAAAATTGAAATGCTGGCCATATTTTTAAACGCTGACTGGCCCAAACTTCTGACACAATTTTCAAAAAAAAAGAAGACACTCTGGCCAAAGAAAAAAAGGCAAAAAATTGAAATGCTGGCCATATTTTTAAACGCTGAGGTCTGAGGTCCACAGAAATTTTATAGAAAAATGTTCGCACACATCGGAAGGCCAGAAAAGTTAATAAAATATATAGCTTTCTGAGAGTTAATTTTTTTAACCGTAACTTGGGCCTCTAATACCCATTTTAAAATATTTTTAGCGAAAAAAACAAAATTTTATTAATTTATTTACAAAAGTTAGAATTTTTTTAAATGAATTTTTACAAGTCCCGTATGCCTACAAAATCTTCAAGACCTCTAATGTTCACAATATGTTATAGGGTATCTGGGGGAAAGTTGTTCATAGGTCTTACATTTCAAGTTCTTGCCTTTTTATAGAGACTTCTGTGACCTATGAAATTTTATTGTAATTTTCATGAGATTCTGGAGGCTTTTTTTTTTAAATGGCAACATGGTCCTCTAATGCCTATGTATTTTTTTAAATATTTTTTAGCGAAAAACCACTCCAGATTTAAGAAATCGAAAAAACTATTTTTTTTATTTATTTTCAAAATATTTAAAAAAATTTTAAAAATCCAAAATTTTATAGCGCAAATATTCATAGGTCTAGCAGGACTACAAAATCTCATAGACCTCTGATGTATAAAATATTTTATAGGGTATCTCGGGCACAAGCCTGTTTTTAGAAATTTTTCATTGGTTTCTAGGGCCTAAATTTTATAGAAAGTTGTGAATAGACCTCACCTTTGAAGTTCATGACTTTTTACATGGACTTCTGGGTCCTATGGAATTTTATTGTCATTTTCATGGGATTCTGAGCCCAAAAATAGAAAAAAATGCGTGTATGCAAGAACTTTCGCATCTCCCTAAGTTATCGAGTTTTTATACCCTCAGCCCTATGGCTAAAAAGGGTATATCATTTGATCATTTGATACGACCAAAACGTGTCTCATCGAAATAACGGTTTTAGACGTTTCAGGAGATTTTGAGTCAATCTAGAGTGTTTGAGGACTATATAATTCCTTCTGCTTAAATGGCGCCCAATGTGGGGTGCGCAGCAAATTATTGAAAAGCATATACTTTGATTATTATGAGGCCAAGATGGAAGTAAATCGACTGGCAATTCTCCGGCTAATACGGTACTCTCAAGTAGGCAAACAATTTTTTTAAAGTTCTCTAAAGAGCTTAGTGTTCTTTCCACTGAAATGGAGCCCAATGTGGGTTGTTGTAATGCACAGCTGAAAACAAGACAGCTGTAACTCAAAGCCCAATAAAAATCGAAAGAAAATTTCGCAAAGGCGTTAGAGGCCTAAAATATTTTTCTACTAAAATGGCGCCCAATGTGTGGAGTTGGACAGTAAAGTATTGGAAATCAGATACCTTGGACATTATGAAGCCTAGTTGGAAGTGGATCGAATGGGAAGCGGAGGCAAGTTGCTCCGGCCAATTTCGTAGTCTCAAGTAGACAATACATATATTTAAAAGTTCTCCGAAGCTTAAAGAAAATAATGAGAAAAAAGCATTATAGGTCTCAGAGACCTTTAAATTTTCTTTATGAACCTCTTAACGCAACACAAAATTCTTCACAGATTTCAGAGGCTTTTAGAATTTTTTCCCCTAAAATGGCGCCAATGTAGGAGCTAGTTTTAAAAGGATGATATCAGGCATTGTTAAGGGTAAACTGTGAACCTGAGGCAAAAATAAATTTGAAAATAAATTTTAAATTTGCATAGGTTCCCAAGTTCTATAGAATTTAATCTGCTAAAATGGCGCCCAATGAATGGTATGAGAGCCAACTATTGAAAAGATGGTATCTGGAATGTTATGAGGTAAATGTGACTCAATTTTGCTTAGGATTCTAAGGCCTATAACATTTTTTAAGTTAAAATGGCGCCCAATGTGGGTTAGGGTAGTAAACTATTGTAAATGTGATACTTTGGACATTGTGATGCATATGTGAATGCAAGTCGATTGTGCCTCCAAGGCGTGTAGTTTCCGCCGACTTCGCTTTCTTCAATAAATCAGAGGTGAGAAATGAGAAATCTTTTGGTTTTCCGTTTTCTTTGATGTAAAATTGTTGAAAATTTTGATGTTTAGTTTTTTTGCATCAAAAGTGGCGCCCAACGTGAGACAAAGATAATGAAGAGAAATTAAGTGGAGAATAAAAGATTTAATTAAAAATCCTTAACATTCCACACCAGAACTTTTTCAAAATGATGTAGGAAAAATAGAAATAGGTGTCTTACGTTATGAATGATTTTTGTTACCTATTTTCAATAAAATATGTTATGTATAGGTCTAATGGCGCCCAACATGAAACTCAAGAATAACATTTTTTCTTGTTAAAATTGAATTTGATATTTTTAATTTTTTGGTTGGTAACAGGGAAATAAAACTATAGAAGGAAAATATAGTTGTGGTTTTGGTACAGATAAAGTGGCGCCCAACATGTGGCCATAGAACCAAACTCAATAGATTCTCGTTTTATTTATTCGCATTTTTTTGGAAATAAAAATTAAATATTTGAAGGAAAAGATAACTACGGTACCCAAAAAAAAAAAATCCAAAACTGTTCTATTTGAAGTAAGTGGCGCCCAACATTTATTCGGAAACGGAAAAATGAATTTTTAGCACTTTTAAATGAAATATCGCCGAGTTTAGTTTATTTCCTCATTTCCTTTGAGGCAAAATGATTTTAAGTGGTAATTTTTTATTTATTATTATTATTATTATTTATTTGTACAAAAAGTGGCGCCAAACGCGAGGCTCAAAAAAAATATTTTTTAATTATTTGGAAAATTGAGTGGAGATTAGCATTTTTAAATGAAATATCGCCGAGTTTAGTTTGTTTTCTCATTTCCTTCGAGGCAAAATGATTTTAAGTGTAAATTTTTTATTTATTATTTTTTTGTAGAAAAATTGGCGCCCAACGCGAGGCTCAAAAAAATATATATTTTTTAATTATTTTAAAATTGGGTGGAGATTTTGGTTATTTTTACTTTGAAAATACTTAGGTGCCATAACATTACTATGCCCTTAGATATGTCTTCTCCTGTTCTCAATTTAAATTCCATTTTTTTGTTTTATAAAATTATGTTTACCACTGCCTCATATTCAAGTTAGCTAAGAAAAAAATACCCAAACACCACTTGAACATTTGTCCTGGGATTAGTTGTATTTGAACTTTTCTGCTTGACCGTCAATATTTAAATCACACGAATCATTGGGACTTGGCACAATCTTTTCTGTTTACCAAAAAGGGCTCCGAATTTTTGAATTGATGTA